TTTACTTTTTTTTTATAGAAAATTTACAAATAATATTTCCATTGCCAAAAGAACTTACAGCGCACAATTGCCCACACAATTTCCTTGAACCCCTCCACACACACACATTTGTACGCGCTTTCATGTTATCCAGCAGCAAAATTTATTTATACCAGAAAATCAGATTTTTGTGCCAAACCAAACCAAAACAATTTACATTTTCACTCTCTGTTTCACGCTCTCCCGCTATCTACTCATCAGTTCATTTTAGTTTTTTCAAATCTGAAAAATCTCTGTGTTGCACTATAAAAATGTTGCGCGGCTAAAAATAAATTAGTTTGTGCAACAGAAATCACACAAAATCTTTGACAATTAACGAAATAAATTTTACAAAAATAAATTCAGGTATAGCATATAAATTTAAAAAATCTGAGAAATAGCAATTAATTATTAGAAAATATTTAAATAATTTTTAAAATTGTTTTTAAAATTGTTTTTTTGTTTGAATAAAACCACTTTTATTTTTTTTTTTACAATTCTGAAATTAAAAAAAAATATTTAAAAATTTTGAGGAATACCAATTTATTATAAGAAAATTTATAAAATATTTAAAACCACGTCTCCAATTTTTTTTGCTAGTTTGATTAAAATTATATAATATGAATTTAACAGAAAGACTGAGCAAAGACAGCAATTAATTATTAGAAAATAGGGTACAATCTAAAACTAAGTATTTTTTTTTTTTTTTTAATTATAAAATATGAATTTAAAAACTGTTAGAAGTATCAATGAAATTTTAGAAAATTATAAAATAATTATAACAATTTTTAATTTTTTTTTCAAGTTTGAGTAAAATGAGAAATTATGGACTTATTAATTCTGAGCAATTACAATACTTATTAGAAAACTCCGAAAATATTTTAATAATTATTTATAAACTTTTTTCTAAATTTGAATAAAATGTAAAATATGGATTTAAAAATCTGAGAAATAGCAATTAATTAGAAAATTAGGAAATATTTATTATATATAAGTTTTAAAAATCTGAGAATTATTTATATTTTAATTATAAAAATTTTTTTTTTAAATATTTGAAAACATTTATTCAAATTTTTTTTCAAAGTTTGAATAAAATTATGAAATATAAATTTATAAACCTGATATATTTGTATGTTTTTAAAACAATTTTTTTTTTTAACCTGAATAAAATTATAAAATATGAATTTAAAAAAATTGGGAAATTCCAATTAATTGTTAGAAAATTTAGAAAATATTTAACATTTTTTCAAACAAAAAACTTTTAGCGGTGATTTTTTTATATACACATAGGAGAAAACCCAACAAATAAAAATAATTAAAAGTGAATATACATAGCATATAGAAAAAATTCTCAAAAAAATCCAAAATTTAAAATAAAAACTAAATAAACAAAAGTAAGCAATTCTATAAAAAGCGCGCTCGAAAAGGCCTCAAAATTGCAGGAAGAAATAAATAGACGATGTCTCCATACATGTAATACATACATATGTATGTATATATATATTATATATGGGCTAAGCGTTGGCAAAAGTGCGCTCTCAGCGCGTTTGGCTTTGTGAAAATACATTTGCTGCTCACTTAGTATTTGTGTTTTGAAGAAAAGCAAAGTCTTTTTGTTGTTGCTTCTTGTTGCGCGCACATTTCTTCGTCGCTGGTTTTGCGCGTCCACGTCCACTCTACTTGCACCTCTTTCACAAATCGCCCACTGTCGCCCCTGCGCGCGTCTCTACCATTGTGCGCGAGAGTTTGATATTATCGTTTTATTTCTATTTTTTTATTTTTATTTATTTCTTTTTATTTTTTGAGAAAAGCAAAAATACGCTCGTTTCGTTTGATCTTGTTTTGCTTTTTGTGCTAAAAAGATCACTTTGTATTTGGGTGTTCAGTTGAGTTTTTCACATACGCGGAACGGCATCGCGCATCGACCGTCCGCGCATTATTATTTCCCCCCACTATCCGTCAATTTTTCTAAGCCAATTTGGTTGTTAAAACGCTTACGCTAACACACGAGCATTTGAATTGAAAGCGATCGTCTCTGGTAAAAAAAAACCACAACAACAATTTACTATAATTATTTGAAATGTAAGCCGCGCTTGAAAGAAGTATATAAATTATACTCATATACATATATCTATGTATATGCCAATATATAAACGATCGTGTGTTTATGCAACCGTAGTTGATTTGTGATAAGCCCAAAAGTGTTGAAGGTTTCTTATCGATCGCCTTCACAGCAGAGTCGTATCTTTATCAGCTGTCTTGTTGTTGCTGCTAACGTTTGTGTTGTTGTGATTATTTAGTAACACCGGTCAACGTAAATAGTGGTTAGCTGGGCGCGCAGCTATCGCGCAATAGCCATAATGTCGACGGGGTAGAAAAATGCGCGAATTCGTCCAAAAGTGTTAATGCGCGTTGAATTATGTTCGTTTAACGTTTATTACCAGTCGACTTAGTCGTGAGACGCGAGTGGACGCATAACGGTTATGAAGTGTGTGCTTTCAATTGTTTTTGGAAAGATTATACGTACACAAATATATAATTAAATAATTACTTCGACAAATGTGTTAATTAAATTTTTTATTTTAAATGCAGCAAAATTCATTTTTCATCGTTTGATGAAAAGAAAATGCCAATTGCTTTCGTAAATCTATAATTCTAAATTTGTTTTAATTTTTTTCTGAGAAAATTAAGTGCAAGAAATCTATTGAACGTCTATAAATACCCCAAAAATCCAGTGTATGTATTAGTGTGCGTGTGTGTGTGTAAAAATTCGGCATAAAGTGTGTGCAAAAATATGAATTACTTACAACAGAGGCAAAATATATTTAACGAAATAGCGCATATTATTTTTGCGAAATCTGTAAACGAATTAAGTGAATGGTGCAGTTTGTCATTTTCCATTTCGACTTTTTTGTTTTCATTGTTTTTTATTTATTTTATTTATGGCCAACGCGTTTGCAGTTCTCTATTTCGATTATATATTACAGTTCACGTACAGGGTGTGTCTTTTTGGAATTTCGATTAGCATAATTAAAAAAAAAAAATTTAAGTAATAATTACCATTTTGTGATCCTAAGTCATCTGAAATTACTGTAAAAATCCAGACTATATTAATATGAATTTCAAAATATGCAGAATGAATTTCCACAGATGTCATAGCATAGTTTTTTAGCATGATATACAGAATATAAATATCTTCGGGTATACCCTTGAATTCGTTTATAAAATTAATTGATAGTGAAGCTACATGTGCTTGGAGAAACACTTTAGCAATGACAAAGTCATACAACTTAGAACGAGGGAAAGAGAGGCCAAAAGGCCCACCACCTGATATCTGAGAATATCTGAGATAGTGAGGACGATATTAATATCGATCGTTGACAAAATAGTCAATTGTTTTTAATTTTTTTTTTTTTATAGATTTAAAAGGTGTTAGTTGATTTTTTATATTTATTTTCTCATTAAAGAAAATTTCTATATTATTTTTATTTTTTACGTGTTTAAAACACTCAATTGGTCTAGAATAGTGTTACATGATCTTATCATAGATTGATGTTGAAATGTTATCGATACAATTTTCAATTGAAATATCTATGTATTACCAGAAGTAGAGAATTTGAGTATCTTCTTGTAATATTGGTATGTTATTAAATATTTTATGCTCTTTTTCTAATATTTCCTTTAATGCTGAAGCTAATAGCCTTTAAGCGAATTTTTATCAGCGCAAATTTATTGATAACTCATTATATATCAGCGATTTTTTTATCAGTAATGATTGCGGTACAGTATTGCAACTCAGTTGATTGTTTCTCACAAATATTCGATAATGAATGCTTTTAAAAAATTATTAGCTTTTGATTTATGATAATTAATATTAATAATCAAAGCATCTTGAATAATCCAACGATAAAAATATAAAAAGCGTCTAGAGCATTCTCCCATCCACTACCAACACCATTATTTTCTTGACCATTTTCAAAGTGTGTTTTTTCAAACTGTAAACAGAAGCAAATTGGAGTATCAGACTTTTGATTGCAACAAGCTGAATTTAATTTACTTTTGCTATATATGTATTTTTTCAATTTATTTTTACAATTTTTCTGCAAGTTTTAGCGTTTTGTTTATGGCACGTTCCAACACACGCAATAAGCAACACCTATCGATCGCTATACATACACTTATATTTGCACATATACTTTAAAAAGCAAAAAAATATATATGAATGTCCGTTTGCTAACGTATAGCAATAAATTGTTGAAAGCGTAAAAAATCTTTGGCCAGCGAAATAATAGCAAAACAGCCAACTGTATTGACTCAATCCAAATGCAACGCTAATTACCTCCGATTCCGAGAAGCAAAGCTCTTAAGCAACGCTACTAGTTTTGCTTGACCAACAGCCAAGCGCGCAGAATGTATTGAAGGTGTTGCTTATTACAAATAAATACAATAAGTATTTATCTACTTGAAATAATTTTCAATATTTTTGAGTGCCTTATCATTGATATATGTGGTAATACCTCTGTCAATAATGCCCAGTATCAGCTAATAAGCTTTTGATATTGATAATTATTTATTAAGTCGGCAAAGTCGCAGTAATCTAAGGAGAGATACAGAAAAATAGCTACCCTGTGTGTTTATTTTTGTTTGCTTTTTTGTCTTTTGATTACTTAGTTTTTATTTTATTTTTTCAATTGTTATCTGGTCACCCGATGGGATAATTAAAATATTGTAACGTGATAAATAAAAAGTAAAAAAAAAACAAAGTGATAAAAGTCTAAGGTCTACAATAATTTATGACCTCAATTATTGTCTTAATATAGCCTCTTATTTATGAGCCGAAAAATCATTTGAAAGCCACAATAATATTCATTTTCAAATAGTGTATTCAATGGAATTAAACAACTACCAGAAAATTAAATTAAAATTACTTGAAAATACGTAGAAAAAAAATTTACGTGAAAATCATTTCCTCAATTTCACAGCTTTAAAGCCACTGCATCGCCGCTTGACACCTCCACCACATCCGCCTTCAAACCGACCAAATCGCTGGACGCAGGTCTCAATTACAACACATTCGCCCATTTGAATGCACCAACGGCCGCCTCTAGCATCTCACCGGGCAGCAGTTACACACTCACCCGTTGCTCCACCCAACCGCTGCATAGTCAGCATTACTTTAAGGCAGCGGAAACGTCTTTATCTTCCGATACGCCACCACTACCACCGTTACGCGCCACAATTGGACGTCACAGTTCGTTAAGTGATAGTTACAGCAACACTAATAACAACAATCACAATAACAGCATAAGTGAACAATTAACCCTATCGACGGGTAGTGATAGTGAGCGTATCTTTGAAATGTCTGGCATTGAGGAGAATTTAGCGCCAACCGAAAGTGCTAATAAAGCTGAGGGTGGTGCCGGTGGTGTTGGTCTGACACGCAAGAATAGTGTACGTGCTCGTGCTAATATGTTCCAGCAGTTGCAGGAAAAGACTAGAAGCGCAGAGGCAACGTCGGCGTTAGCTGGCACGGAGCTCGGTCGTGAGGAGAGAACTTCACCGCGACGAGGTAAGTGAAAATGAAGAATAGTATTTTTAATAGCGTATAGATTAGAAGTATAAGTACATATCTTTAAGCTTATCAAAAAAAAAATTTTAATGCAAATCGAATAATATTTTGAACCCAAAAGAGGCATATACGTTTTTTTTTACAAATTAGTAAGATTTTTAAGGGTACCAAAATATATTTCGGGAAATAGATTTCTTAGACTTCTAATTTCATATGAAATAAGAGTCGTTTCGGCAGTACTACGGTCTCCACTCATTCCATATTTATATCTACACAGATCGAGAGTAAAATGGTAAATCTTGTTTAAGATTACAGAAAACTCTTCGACAATTATAGATTCTGATCTTCTAATCAAGGTACTTATCGGTCTAAACGCGGTTAGACAAGTTAACCTTGGCCAGTGCTGCTCTTCTATGTTAACCAAGGTAGTTTTTGATCGAAATGGTATAAGACCTCCAACAAGTCTTGGATGGTGAAAATTGCGATTAAATCTTATAAGAAATAAACTCGCAGTTGTAGATATTAACCTCAATTGGCGATTGCTTCGAGAAACCAAGTAGCCTTTGGTCAATTGGATATTGTAGGAAGAGTACCGAACGTATATGCTGCCTATTTTTCGCAAAATTGTGCTATGTATATTAACCGTTTTAGATTCGCCATACATCTTTTATCGTAAAGAGAGTAGAGCCATCATTATCGAGTTGAATTAAATTTAAGAGAGCTTACAGACATCTTCAAGTTGATATAACTACTTGCTATTCAATCACTATTTGATTATGCCAAGCTTTGTGATTTATACCAGTTGTTCGTTCGATTCGCTTTTCTCCAAGACTTGCTAAATTAAAAACAGCGAACAAGTTGAAAAGCAAGCCCAAAACAAATTCTTAAAAAATCCGTCCGCAATTTTGGAACCTGTTGCCATCTTTATATACAATACATATATATAATTTACAAACAGATACATACGTAGGTATATATTATATATTTTCCATAGGTGCAGCTTCTACTTTTCTTCCCAACATTAAAACTAAACAATTTTCGCTTCGTTTCTTTACAAACGAATTGTAATTTGGTAATAATAAAATATAAAGTACACCTAACTGCTTATTTACGATCCGCAGTTATGTGCTGGAAATAACTTCTGACGTAATTCAGTTCAACTCTCTGTGGTGCCCTATATTACAAGTATATATTCATATATTTGTTCGTAGAAAGGTTTGTGACTATTTCTTCATTTCAAAAGAAATACAAATATTGTTCTAAAAACCGGCGAAACTTGACGCCACTGTAACAGGTTCTACATATATTGTCTAATTACCGCGCGCGGGACGTAAATGAGGCTTGAAAAGAAATGCAAGTGAATATAATGAGAAATAACGAAATATTTGTGGAAATTATGACAACCGCAAACCGAGATGCCACTAAGAAAACTCACAAGTTTTCTTTCATTAAAAATGTGGTTAGGTTTACTCAAGTGTCTAGTTGTGTCTTTAGTTAGTGGAAATGTGTTTTAGATCTAACTGTCTCAATTGACTGACTTCAATTTTCAGCAGGTCACTATATTGAATATTTAAAGTGATATAAAGAGGTAAACAGGTTAACAGAAACCAGAAAGATAATCAAGCGAAAGTAATAATAATAGCCAGTAAAAATTTCTATGAACTTCTTACCGTTCGACGTTGTAAAATTAATTTAAAAAGAGTTTTATTAAAATATTTTACTATTTCATTATTTAAATGCTATTGTCTTTGCATCTCTTCGCAGGATCGTCCCAGCTCTCGCCCACGTCTTCCATGCTCCCGACGACAGCATCTGTAATGAGCAGTAGCATTTCTAGTATTAGCGGCATCCATACGAACAGTCACGAAGAACCGAAAACACCGCAAAATCCAAGCAAAACATACGAGGAAATTGGTGAGTGTTTTTTAAAAATAAAACTATTAGAAATATATCGGTAGATATATAGATATCGTATATATCAACATTTGCACGATTCAATATCAGAATTCTAATGTCACAAACATTACCATGTCATTACATATTGCACTACAATTACCTGCTACATTACCATTTCTCATAGCATTACCATTACCCGAGTAATACCATTACTCATAGCATTACCATTACCCATTTCATTACCATTACCCATTACTATTACATATTACATTACCATTACCATTACCTTTTACCATTACCATTACCATTACCCATTGCAACACCATTACCATAGCATTGCATTACAATTGCCAATTGCATCGTTCCTTACTATCATCAACGTTTTGACGCTTTGTTTGCCGATTCTGTTGTTCGTTTTATTTCATTACTGGATTCGCCGCATAAATTTGAAACTAAACGATGTCAATAATTTGCATTTTGAATGAGTTTTACATAATTTTACTTTCATATCTACGTCGCACGTAAATTTATATTTTCTTGATTGCAAATTATGCAGCAAAACATTAACTGTGAATGCAAAGCTAAATTACTTTTTTTTTAAATTATTTCTGTTTTTAGTGAAATACTTTTTTTTTCAATAACCCGGCACGTTGTTGTTGTTGCGCATGTTATGCATAATATATGTTTGTTGTTGTTGTGTTTATTCTACTACTTATTTACCGTTACTCTAACTACGACAACTAAAACAGTACTCTTATTACCACTACTACCACCACTACAATTACAATTATGATTATTATTTATACTTTGAGCAATACATTGCTTGATTTTCGCGCACAGTCACAGGCGGCAAAAAGTATTATCGTTTACTTTTTTAATTTTATTTTTCCTTCTCATTTCTGGGTTTGTTATTATTAACTCATAAATTAACCACATAGCCACGGCAGCGTCGGCAGATGAAAAACGCTCGCGCATATCAATGATTACACAAACGTTAAGCAGATACAACATACCGTATGCAATGGTATGTAAGCATACATATAAAATGGCGAGCAAAATTATAGCAGTGTGGGCACACACGAAAAATTAACTTTTTAAAAGGTTCGATCATAAATATTGGCTCTCTAACTATATTACTTGCGGCTCTTTTTTTCTTAAAATTTTTTATGAAAAATATGTACAACAGTATTATTCCTATTCTGCTGTGAGATTCTAGTAAGGTTTATCGGCAATCGTTAGCTTTAATTTAATGAGTTGTTGTCGGTAGTGGTGTTCGGTTTAGCCGTTGATTTGGCTTTAATGATTTTTTGCGTTTAGAATTGTCGTAATAGATCCATTTTTTCATGATCAGTCACAAACGTTCCAGTAGCATTTCTGGCTTGCTAAAACTAATTTTTGGAATATTGCAGCAATGGAATAATAATCAAGATACGCAATATAATTGCAAACCGCAGGAATGTATTAAGTTCGGTAAGATTCGTCTTTTGAAGCATAGGATTCATTATGATATCACGGTAACAGAAATCAGCTAACAGTAAGCAGTAATGCTTTGCCAGAAGTAGCCGTAACAATGACCTCTCACATCGAAAACTGCAGTTTTGTCGTCTCCAGAACCTGCCACGATTTTGACTCTCGATCGTAGTTTTAAATTCATTTGTGCCGGAAGCAGAAGCATTCATACTAGAGGAATTTATGTCGAGCTCGTCTCGTCTGGTCTCGTTGACTTTGCAATAAACTGGTACATTGGCACATATCCGATAGTTACGATCAATAATATGATAGCATTGACATTTCTCAGAGTGAGAGAGAGAGAGAGATCTCCGTATGTACTTCGTAGAGCATTATTCTTTCACTTCCCACTTTCGAAGTCCAGTCATAAAACAAGTTGGTTGAATTAGTTTCACCTAACCCTAAGGTCTAAGTTGCGATTCCGACAAATTAATATTACTTTTTGATAACTTGAAATTTGGACCGAATAAACTAAGTCTGAACAGGTTGTAAAATTTTTGTCTTTTTTTATTTAGCCATGTGCGACTGTTTGTCTGTAAATACGTAAACATGTCCTTTACTCTAGAAGAAGCTGCTCATTTGCTCGAACCGTCGATATCAGACCACTATACGATATTGCTGCAGTGCAAACTAATCGCTCAAGCTCAAGTTCTTGCATGGAAAACTTTTTATTTAACAATATATCTTTACAAATTTTGGCATAGATTATTGTCAAAGGCTACAATCTCCAAACAAATTGATCAGATCTATACATATAGCTGCCATTCAAAATGAACGTTAAAAATAAAGTTCTTTTATGGAAACTTTCTTTATTTATGAAGCACATTACAGCTTCGGTGCAAACAAAGTTACCTTTTTGCATTTTTTTTTTTTTTGTGTATTTTTACTATGTAACACTGCTAAAATTTTGATGGCAACTGTACGTATGTATACTTGTATTGCTGTTTGTTTGTTTTGCCGCTTGCCCATAAAATGCAAGACCAAAAACAAAACCTGGAAAATTGGAAAACTACTATAAACAATTTTTGTGCAAATCTTTGCATTTACACTTTTCGTTTTATTGTTTTTCAATAATTATCTTTTCTGCAATTTTTTTTTTTTGTTTGCGCTTCCGTCTTACGTTAATCGCCGTAACTTCTTATTATTCGCTCAAGCGAAGTTTCATAACAGCGGCGGTTGTGGTGTTAAATATGCTGAGTTATTGCTTAATATTTATTGCTGATACAAGCACCTATACATAGACATATTTATATATGTTAGTACCAAAGCGATTTGTGTAGTTTTCTTTGAAAAAATTAACTAGTCAATATTTTTACAATGTTCGTACATTAAAAAGATATTACACCTGCCATAAGCTTTTAAATTGTAACAATTTGAATTTTTACGACGCACGCGAGGCACCCACAATTTTAATTACTTTTTAGTAATATTTTTATTTTTCATACATATAAGTAGCGTTTAAAGGAGTTAAACTCCAATTTTCATACTCTATTTTGTGCGTGATAACTACAGATTTAAAGCTCATACGATTGACCGGTAGATTTTTCTGAAAAGCGCACAAAAATCACTGAACGGAAGTGCGACCAAGCGTAAACGATTTTGTTACTCAATACAAAATGAATCCTTGGCAAAAAATTGTACTGTTAATGAAGAATTTATCAAAGAAATAGTATTAAAATTACCAAAATTATCTGTCAATAAAGTATAAGTCACTGTGTCATACTCTCTTTTGAGAATTTTCTGAGTGTCAAACTCTCTTTTGAGAATTTTCTGAACCCGAACGCGATTAGATACACCTGCGCACATTTTTATTTCAAATAAAAATCCATTGCCAGAATATTTCATTCATATGACTCAAAACATGATAATTTACAGTTTGTTTCGGCGCCAATAACTCGTCGAATATTGGTTCGAAGTGGCCAGTCAGCGTTGATTTATTAACATAGATCATTTATTCACAAAATATACCCCGATTGAGCTTAAATTACATGACCTAGTTAGCTTCTTGGCGGTTCTAAATTCTTGTTGCCAAAAACTCGTAACAATAAAGTGATGATTTGACGACCAAATGAAATAATTTAGTACCTAGAAGAATGATATTGACATGAGCAATCCAAAAATCGCGAATCATTTTCCTGTAGTGCTCAACACTTTCGTTAACTTTGGCTCCATCTACAGTTCTAAAGAAGTGTGGACCAATAGCAACTTCTATATGCAAACGAGAGAGTAGCTTATTCTGGATGCGAGAGCATTTGGCGGCTCTATTCCAGTTCATTCGCATACTAAGAATGGTAACTTTGTTTATTTACGTGCCCTAAATGTGTACCTCATCAATGAAGATTTGAAGTTAAATATGTAAGTAACATTTTGCCGTTCAAAATACGAGTTTTTGAAAGAAATTTCATCGATTTCGCCAAAGTGTTTTGAAGATAAATGTCAAAAACATGTATTTAATTTGACAGATGATTTAACTGTCATCACCGTAGCAAATTCAAAACCTCAACTTTAATTTTGCATCTTGATTCATAAGATTTTCGGTATTGGGGGCTAGATTCGCTGGATTGCTGGTCTTCGCAAAAGATTCAAGTCTTTTTGGTACAAGTCTAACATAGCGTGCCAATGATACTCAAAATATTATCCAAAATGTGTTGACTTGCTCCATAAGAGTTTTTGAGATCCTCTGATGCTAACACGACGATTATTTATTATATACGAATACTACTTATCTCGTCGAAAAGGCCGTCTCGCCTTTATCGAATATAATCAGCTGTAAAAGAATTTCTTTCAAAACTACTTCAACTAAATATAACAAAAAAACACCTTTTTCAAAAACACCCTTTACTCAAATTCGCTTTTCATTTTGTTTCACTCAAAAAAGTTTGAAACAAATAAAATTTGAAATTTTTCTCGCTTTCTCGTCGTGTTTTTTGATGTGAAGTGTGTTTAATTTTTGTATTCCAAATTTTAAGTTTTAAATATTTAATTTTGCAAATTTCATTTGGCCCAAAAAATAATTCTAAAATTGCATAGTTCCACGAATTAGCGGCGCAGTAAAATTCTGCATTTTTCGAGAGAATACAAAAGATATTCGAAAAAAATTATTGAGTGCTAACAGGGGTCTCACACAGAAGCAGATTTCTTAAACGTCTTATAAAATTTGAAAAAGCGTTTTGTATGCACTCGTCATATCTTTGCATGGACCTATATATGTACATATGTATGTATGCACATGTGTGATATGTCTTCAAGTGCAATTGTGAAAAAATAAAGGATTGAAAACATTGAAGAGCGATAAGTTGCAGAGTAAGAGGTGAGCGTACAGCGCATTTACGAGCGTTGTGGGCGGGTTTTCCTTTGTGTTCGCATGCGATAAGTTTTCGAGGGTTTATCTAACGCATTCTGTGAAAGCGGTCACATGCTGATATTGTATTATTGCGTTCTAGACTTATACATTTCCTTTTTTCGATAAAATGCAGGCAGTTTGAGCTGCTCTTTCGGAGATCGACTTC